TAAGAATCAGATATTCGGACTTTCCATAATGGTCAGGTCAACCATTACTGGTGATTTAAATTCATTTAAATCTGAGTCCTTAACTATAATGTGAAATTCCGAGCCACACTAAATCACTATTAGTTGGTCAAATCTCGGGAAAGAGGCCAATTCCCCCGTGAACTTACGAGGTGCTATTTATGTATACGTGTGATCTATTAAGATAGACCAAAACTCCTATGAACTTTATATAATTTTGAATTTCCCCCATAACCTATTAAAATTTGGTCAATTTACACAAACCGCAGATGGAATCTGTTATCCGTTAACAGATGGAATATGTTATCCGTTAACAGATGGTGACATGGATTACATGTGGCTAACGGGGTTCAATTCGGTTTAAAGTTGACCAAAATCAATTGGTTTGTTGATTGGTTTAATACTAAAATGTCGACGTTTTTCATCTGGGACAAAAAAAAGGGTTTATATTGGATCCATTTTGTTCCGCCGCGTGGAGTCAAACACTCAAGCTCTTAAGCCGGATCTTTCTTATATTGGATCCGACCCGATTAGACGACCCGAGATCCGAGAAATCAAAACCGAAAAATGTCTGAGAGTTAACGACGACGAGCCGATTTCTTATTCCTCGGTTTCACTTGCTCAGTTCAAAGTAACAATTTTCATCTGAGATCCTATACACGAGAATCCAGTATCGAACATTTTTACGATGATGAAAACCAATTCGAATTTCAAGCGTAAGACCAAATCGGAGATTCAAGCTNTCCTNTNTACCCAAAATCCTAATATAACAATGATTACTAACTCGNGATGCTCAGAATCAAGTGAAAAGCAAAACCAAGGGTCGATATTCTTAAACCCAAACAAAATCCGAATCTAAGAATAATGATTTCAAACAATCAATTCGAACAATAGGTAATCAATTATAGAAGAAAAAGATCACAAATTGAAGAAGAAAATATTACAAGATTAAAATCAGGAGCCAAAAACGGATACGAAAGAAGAAGATCTCTCACTTGCGATATGAAGCGGCCGAGTCGACTCAGTAAAATATTTGGGTATTTTGGGTTGGGGATGTTTAGACCATGTTTATATCGGAATCTGACGAAAACGACGACGAAGGAGACGAATTTCCTGGTTTTTTCACCGATTCTGATTCGGTTCCTCAAATCTCCGGTAATCTGGAGGTTAAATTGCAACTGGAATAAAACCGGAAGGAGGAGCGAGACGCACGTCGTGGTGATGAAATTGAAAGCTTCTCCGTCTCCGTAGTTGATCTCTGACGCGATTAGAGCACATAGACCTTGGATAGATCTGGTTACGGTTCTCGATCTGAGCAACGGCGGAGGAAATTTGCAGACGGTTAAGCACGCGATGAGATTGGTTATCTCTCTTCTCCGAGAGATGGATCGTCTCTCGATCGTGGTCTTCTCGATGGGATCGAAACGATTAATGCCGTTACGACGGAGATCGGCGCGACGGATCGGCGATTCACTCGGCGGAATTGAAACCGCCGGTGTCATCGGAATGACGGTTAACGACGCATTGAAGAAAGCTGTTAAAGTCGTTGAAGATCGGCGAGAGAGGAATATAAGCCCTATTTTTTTTCCCCAAATGCAAAAACGACACCGTTTTTGTGTTAAACGAGTCAACAAACCAATTGATTTTGGTCAACTTTAAACCGAATTTAAATCCGTTAGCCACCTGTAATCCACATCACCATCTGTTAACGGATAACACATTCCGTCTGCGGTTTGTGTAGATTGACCAAATTTTAATAGGTTATGGAGAAAATTCAAAATTATATAAAGTTCATGGGGTTTTTGCCTATCTTAATAGATCACGTATATATAAACAACACCTCGTAAATTAACGAAGGAATTGGCCTTTTTCCCGTGAAATCTCATAGTAGTATTTCTTTTGTTAACAAAAAACAAATCAACAATATGTTAAGACTTATAGACCAAAGTGGGTGACCAATGATATAGCATAAATCAGGGATTGGTTTAGTCAAAACCAGCGTTAATGTGATACTATTCATGTTTGGTCGTAAGCTAATCTTTAATAGTGTGTATATATACGTACACATAATCGTCTTGTACATTTGAAATAATGAACCAAGTACATTATACATTCTTAATGAGTTATCCGAAAAATAAACTCATGAATCGATAATAATTCCGTTAATTATGTCGTCTCTTCATTTATATGTTTAATTAGCTCATAATCAAGCTGGTTCTCCATTGATTATAAATTAACCTATCAATCAACAAGTTAAACGACCTTTTTTACAATAGTGGGTTTTCAGCAAAATGTTTATCTTAAACAAGGACAAATTTTGTGTAGTGACATTATAATTTATAGATGGATGTTATTAGTTTCGTATTTAACATTAAATGGCAATAAATTGCTAATTATGATTCACTAATAATTATTCGATTGATAGAAAACTTAAAAACGACACCTTACCTTCTCGAATCACTGTCGAAATAGCCTTTACAGGCTATCAAATGTCTTTATACATTTTATTTTGGTTACCTTATATTTATCCAAATATTTAAATTCCCTGACAGCTATTTCCAACGGGTATATTAGCAATGTCCAACGGTAACAACACCAATAATATTCACAGCAAAAGACTAATCCAATGATAATTATCAGGTCATGCACATGGGATTAATGATTATTACCAGTTTTCATATTTTGTAAAATATAGTATACCATTATTT